TGCCAAATCGACTATTAATAATTATTTTTTTAAAAAAAAACTTGTTGTTATTATTATTATTATCATTATTACTAACAACGTGAAAGAAAAAAAAATTTTTTTTATTATCGAAACGTGTTTAAATGAATGAATCGTTCGATTTCGATTATTAGAAATATCGATATCGACGTAAACATGCATAATAATAATGATAATGATAATAATGATAATGATAATAATGATAATAGTAATACACTAAATTTTTACGTAATTTTTTTATTTTTTTTTCAGACGTGCGAATTTAAACAAAAAAAAGTAAAAGACAATCATATTTATTATTATTATTTTTTTTTTTAAGGTTTTTTACGTAATTCTAGAAGTGACAAGAGTGATAGAGAGAGTGTGGGAGAGGGGGAGAGAGAGAAGAAAAAAAAAATAGGAATTTATTATCATTATCATAATCATTAGAATTCATGATGGAAACGTGGAAGAATATGAAAATAATATTTTTCATAATTATAAATTTATATTTATTACCGAGAAAAACGTCTTCTGCTCCTTCGTCTTCGAACAACAACAACAATGGCAAACAACCAAATATAATATTTATTTTAGCCGATGATCTCGTAAGTACCTTAATAACAATAACAATAACAATAATAATAATAATAATAATAATAAATAAATAAATAAATAAAAAAGTATTAAAAAAATACTTTTTTTTTGTTTTAATGTCGTCTGCGGTCGCGTCATTTTCCGTTTTTTTATTTTATTTTATTATCATTATTATTATTATTATCCACCATTAAACACGACAAGGCTACTTGTCGGAGTTTTTAAGTATTTATCCGAGGTTTCTACCCGATTCCTTAGGGACAAATACTCGAATTTCGGTGGTGCCACTTATTATAAGATAGCACCACATCAATTCTTGAAGGTCTTCCTGAGTCCGTCTTTTTCGATGGGAACGATTTGTCTCCTGAACTGGGCTCCGGTGACTAACATCTTTGGAGTGGCCAGGGTCAGAAGCAGTGAAATTCACGTTCTCGTCGAGCTGCCTCAGGTCGACAGTAGAACAAGATTTGTTTTTTGGTTCTTACTTTGTCTTGTTCTCATTTTTTTTTTTTGCTCTTTTTAAGCCAACAGCACGTGGCGTTCTCAAACGGTCACCCATCCAAGTTTGCACCACGCCCGATGCTGCTTAACTTCGGTGATCGTACGGGAACCGGTGTGACCAGCACGCTATGGCCGTTGGCTTTTATTATTATTATTATTATTATTATTATTATTATTATTATTTTAGATTTAAAACTTTTGTCTATTTCCACTTTTGTTGTCAAAATTCACGTTTAATTTTACACGTTTATCTCATTACACGTTTACTTTTTTTCTTTAAAATTATTAATAATAATAATAATAATAATAATGATAATAATGACTTTGATCTCGTTCAAGGAGACGATTTTTATAATGTCGTGTAAATAGATAAAAAAAATAATTATTATTATTATTATTATTACTCTCTCTCTCTCTCTCTCTTTCGCATTCTGGATAATCAAACGAAAGCCGCGAATTTTTTTTTTTTTTTTTTTTTTTTTTAAATAAGTTATTTGCGGTCGTCACCGAGATCCGGATTTTCATTTGTTATTATCATTATTATTATTATTATTGCATTGAAGCGAGTTTGCACGGTGACCTTGACGTCATTCTATCACGTGATTAACGTTTAGGGATTTTTTTTTCCTATCGTTTCTCCCTCGTCTAACACACCGTTGGAATTTTACGTTTTTAAAAATTTTATGTAAGAGAATTTTAAAAAGACTATCATCCTTATATTTTTTTCAATTAATTTTTAATGCTTTTTATAATGTAGACTTTTTTTTTTTTTTAATAAATTTCCCCATTTCCGATTTTTCTTTTTAACGAAAGAAAATGAAAATGCGTATTTACTTTCCTTTCGTTAAGGGTTTCATTTAAAAATTATGGAAATTTTTCGTCTTGATTACGTCATCAACAATTAATTTTTTTTTTTGATTGTTGTCGGTAATGAAATTTTTACGAAGGACTTAAATGATGCTTGAACGTTACGGGTATCAGGTATGTTAATTATTTCTTTTTTATTTGTTTGTTAACAGGGTTGGAATGATTTAAGTTTTCACGGTAGCGATCAAATACAGACGCCAAATTTAGATGCTTTAGCTTATAATGGCGTCATACTTAATTCTCAATATGTTTTACCCGTTTGCACGCCATCGAGAGCCGCACTCATGACCGGAATGTATCCCATTCACAACGGTTAGTTTAATTTTTTTTTTAAAACTTCCATGGAAACCTACCATGGGTTAACTACTTTCCTTTTTTCATGTCAGGTATGCAAGGTCTTCCCTTGGAAGCATCCGAACCTCGCGCTTTACCAGCCGGAAAACTTTTACCTTCTTATCTGAAAGATTTGGGTTATACAACTCGTATGGTTGGAAAATGGCATTTGGGTTATTATCAAAAAGAATTCACACCGACGTACAGAGGTTTCGATTCTCATTTGGGATACTGGAACGGAATAGTCAGCTATTACGATTACATACTTCAAGAAGATGATAATGTTAGTCCTATTATTATTATTATCGTGCATAACATTGAATTTGGGTTTTTTTCAAACGTTATTCCCTGTTATATAGAGAAAACCTAGGAGTAGTCTTAACGGTTTCGATATGAGGAGAAACATAACTCCAGCTTATGATCTTCAAGGTCGTTATGCCACAGAAATGTTTACGGACGAAGCGGTTCATTTGATACGGAGTCATAATAAAAACACGCCATTATTTTTATACATGAGCCATCTTGCCGTGCACGCTGGAAATCCCGGAAAATTTTTGGAAGCTCCCCAAGAAGCTATAAATAAATTTTTACACATAGCCGATCCGAACAGGAGAACTTTTGCTGGTAGGATAGATAGTTTTGTAAAGGTTATCAAACCTTTTTTTTTTATCACGCGAATGATGCAAAAAAAATTGTTTATTTATTTCAGGTATGGTACAAAAATTAGACGAATCCGTCGGTAGACTAATAGCCGCTCTCGAGGAATCAAACATGCTTCACAATTCCATAATCGTTTTCTCTGCCGACAATGGTGCTCCGACAATCGGCGGATACCCGAATTGGGGATCTAATTACCCGTTGAGAGGTATCAAGGAAACCCTCTGGGAAGGTGGTACTCGTGGCGTATCGTTCATATGGAGTCCCCTGATAAAAAACACGCCGAGAGTTTCGAACGAATTGATACACATTTCCGATTGGTTGCCGACACTTTATGCAGCTGCTGGTATATATAATTAAATCTAAGGTTTGATGATTACTATGAGAGAAAACATTTATCAAGTACTCACGTCGAAAATTTTCAGGTGGAAACATGGAAAATGTTAAAAATTTAGATGGTGTTAATCAATGGCCGAGCATTTCGGAAAATCTACCATCGGAAAGAAATGAAATTTTACTCAACATCGATGAAATCCTTCAAACGGCAGCCATTCGTATGAACAGTAGAAAATATCATTGGAAATTAGTCGTCGGTACGATTATCTCTCTCCCTCTCTCTCTCTCTTTCTCTCTTTCTATCGATAGTTTTAAATTATTATTATTATTATCATGATGAAATTTTACAGGTACGGTTAACAACGGAACATACGACGAATATTTCGGAGAAGGTACGAATAAATTCCCGGAAAATAATCCACCGTACGATTTCAACGCTGTGGCAAATTCGCAAGTTTACAGAACTCTCGAAAGGCTCGCGCAAAAAAGGTTGCTGACGTATCCGACGTCGAAAGAAAAAATGAAGGTGTTGAGAAGAGATGCGACGATAAGATGCGATTATAAAATAATAAATCCGAATCGGTGCAATCCCTCGGATGGACCAAATCAAGTTTGCCTCTACGACATTAAACGCGATCCGTGCGAACTAAATAATTTGACGCCATTTTATCCGAACGTTGCGAGTTATTTGTTCAGAGCTTTGGTTCAACACAGGGAATCACTCGTGCCGCAAGAGAGTAAAGAATTGCAACAGGATTTAGCGGATCCGGTTAATTTTAACGGTACTTGGACTCCGTGGATCGATAGCAACGGCGTCCCTTTCGTCGTCACACGTTCCGGAACCGGAAATTTCAATATCGATCCGTTAAGCGTTCTAACGTCAGATTATAAAGATTCATTTTTAACAAGATAAGGTTATGTTTACGGAAAAAACAAAAACAAAAACAAAGGTAGTCGTTATTAGAGGAATATATCCTTTTCGTTTGATAAAAAAAAAATTAATTAATTAATTAACAACTACGTATAAATATTAAATATTATGTACATAAATATTTATGTAAAAAAAAAATTTTAAACCCACCCGAATAATTATTAATTTAAAAAAAAAAAAAAAAAAGAAAGTAATGAAAAAATAATCTTTAATTTATCCATTTTTTTTTTTTTTAATTTTAATTTATATATGAATGAACTTTGAACTTTGACCTTTTTTTTTTTTTACAAAATTATCGTTTTAGTTCCTTTTGACCAGGGTAGGTAAACCGGAAATTGGAAAATTTTTCATAAAAAATTAACATATTAAATAAATTTCATTATTCATTTATTTACACATCCATAAAAATGATGTTTGTCACATCATTAAAGTATTTATTTTTAATTATTGTACATTAATTTTAATTAATAATAATAATAATAATAATAAATTAAATAAGTTTCTTTATTATTATTATTTTAATACTACTCTATTGTTTATTTGATAAAGGAAATTATTATTATTATAATTAAAAATTAATCTTTTTAAACAAGAAAACATTTTTAAGTCATCGGTGTCACGTGATGTTGTACGTTTTACGAAAATTTAAAAAAAATAAATTAATTAACTACGGCGGTGGTTAAAATAATAATGATAATAATAAGATAAAATAATAAGAAAAAATTCGTCGGAAAAGTTTTTAATAAAAAAACAAAAAAGAGAATATTCAAGTTCTAAAACTTTTTTCTTTTTCTTTTTTCTTAAATTTTATTTTAAATTGTTTTATTTAAAGTTTTTCCCTTTTTTTAAACGATTATAATCAGATATATATTAAGAACTTTGATAAAAATAATAATAATAATAATAATAATTTCCGTTAAAATCCATAGGTTTATAATATTAAGAAAAAAAGCGTTAAATTATTCTTCGTTATACATATACATATACTTATACATCATTGTTTTGTTTTGTTTTTGTTTTGATTTTCAAAAGTTGGCAACTTTTTTTTTTAGTTCGAAAAATTTCCGTCGGAGCGCTCGCGATAGTTTTATTATCCGTTAAAATTTCGTTTGGTTTTTGTCAAAAACCAAAAAAAAAAAAATTTCGCGACGGAATAATCAATTAATAAAAATTCGGGAATGTTTTATTATTCATTCTAGAATTATTTATAAAACTTATTTTAATAATAAAAGTGAAAAGTAAAAAATGGTGGGATAAGAGTGCGGGGAAAATATTTATTAATAATATTAATTTCCATTAATAAGGATTTTAATGGCGGATTATTTGCAACAGGTAAAAGGAAAAAAATTGTAATTTTCATTTGTTGACCTTGAAAATTATTTTTAAAATTTTAACACGATGGATAAGAATAAATTTAATGGACGAAAAAGAATAAAAGGAAATAATTAAATAGTAAGTGATACATTTTTTTTTTAAACTTTTATTTAATTAAATTCGATATAAATATAGGACGAGAATATATTTGATGAATAATAAATTAAATTTATTTTAAAATTATTAGATAGACAGGTTCACAAAATAACCCTTATTTAAATTCCTTTTTTTTAACACCCTTATTTACATGTGGTTTCCTTTGTAAATCGTTTTCTACTTTTTTTTTTTTTTCTTATTTGTGTCAAAAGTTTCTATTTAGTTAAATTAATTAACTAACTTATAATATAGTCCGGGTAGAGTAAAAAAAAACCGTTAATAAAATTGTCCATGGGAAAGTGGAGAGGGAAGTTAAGGGAAAGAAAAAAACGTTAAAAATAATTTTTTTATTTGTTTGAAAAATAAGTTAAGATATAAAAACGTTTAATTAACCTTTTTAGAAAAACCTTTTTTTTTTTTTTTTAAAAAAAAAATTTTCATGGTGGAAAAAAAAGATAAAGGGAAATAAAATACTCGTTTGAAATAAAGAAATGAAAAAAAAAAAATTTTTTTTTTATTTTTTTTTTATTTTCTATTAAAAATAATTTTAACAAAGAAAAAGATTTATCAAATTGAATTTTCAAAAAAAAAAAAAAAATCATTTTTTTTGTCGAGTAAGGTTTTTTTTATCTAAAAAATAACCAAAATCAAAATGGCCGTCGTTTTAACATAAACAAATATTTCGTTTTACCAAAGTTTTTTTTTTTAATTTCAAACGAACTATGCAAAAAATAATGAGAGTGAGAGAGAGGTAAAGAGAGAGAGAGAGATATTATAAAATATTTTACCGAAGAAATTTCTAGAAAAAAAAAAAATTTGAATATATTTATCCGTTATTAAATAATATAACGTACACCCCATCCCATTTTTTTTTTGTAAAAGTGATGATTACGTCACTAATCAAATCAGAATCTTAAATTTTTTTTTTTTTTTTTTAATTGTGACGTCACGATTTCCAAGAATCGAAAAGAATTATTATTATTGTTATACGCCTGTATAAATAATAGTGTTAAAATCGTCCGAAAGGGGGAGGGGTTTTTTTCAAATGCAGTTTTTCATATTGTTTTTCTCCCCTTCCACTTTTTTCCCCTCCTCTCACTCCAGTTTCCGACGTTTATTCCCCCTCCACCACCGTCTCATCCCTTTTCTCGCCATGATTTCTTGTTTTCCTTGTCAGTTTATCTTCGGCTGCCGATTGGATAGGTCGTCGTTATTAATATTACTATTTTTTTTTTTCACCATTCAAACCGTCAAAATTTTTTTTTTTATCGTACGTTCGTCGTCGCGAAAGGGAATTTTGTCGCGTTTGCACAAAAAAAATTTTTAATAATAATAATTTTCTTTTGTAACGTTTCTCGTAAAATAACGGGTTAAAAAATTTTTAATTTAATTTTTAAAAAAAAAGTAGTTTTTCTTTTTCCTTTTGTCGTCGTCGTAATGTACGGTGAAAAGAAAATGCATAGACGATAATAATAATAATAGTAATAATAATAATAATAATCTGGTAAGCGAATTAATTTTTTTTTTTTTTAGTATTTTTATGCACAGACACTATTTCGTAAATGTAAAATCGTTTTTTTTTTTTTAAACTTTTCGTTTACAAACGAATAAAATTATTATTATTATTTTCGTTAGGAATTTTTCGATGGCAAACAATAAAAAAAAAAAAATGTCGTCGTAACTTTTTTTTTTTTTTTACCTTTTCGTTCGTTTTTTTTTTTTTTTATTTAAACTTTTATATAAAAAAAAAAAAAAAAAATTTGTTGTTCCGTTCCTTTTACGTGTCATCAATTTTTTTTTTTCTTATTTTTCTTCTTTTTTTTTTTTATTTTATTCCTGTTTGTTTTGTTTGTTGTTGTTTTCTTGTTTGCATTTTTCATTTTTTTCCCTTAAAAAAAAAAAAAATTGTACGAATATATGCGCTAGGGAGGGTAGGGGGGGCAGGGGGAAAGAAGAATTTTTTTTGTTAAATTTGAAAACATCAGTTTTCCGTTTATTTGATGGTGATAATAATAATAATAATAATGCATAAGTTTTAAATTTTTTAACCGAACTCGTTTATCGTCGTTTTTGTAGACTAGAAAAGAAAATTTCCTTTTCCCCCCCCCTTTCCCTCCCCTCCCCGAATAAATTTTATCAAACGAACTAAAAAATTGTGCCAAGTTGCAACGAGCATTACATTTATTTCATGGGGGTGCCATTTTTTTTCTTTTTTATTTCTTAAAATAAAATTTATTATTGTTAAATATATTATTATTATTATTATTTTACCCCCGAAAAACGAGAGGGGAGGAGAAGGGTGGAGGAGGGAAATGAATAAACAACGGGATCGTGCTAATAATAATAATAAAAACGAAAAAAAAATTCGCATGGAACGCGGTCCGTGAAAAATTATTTATTTTTACGCGGGTTCCGTGGCGACGGTTATAAAAAAAAAAAAAAAAAAAAAACGTTACGCGTTTTTAAGAAATTTCCCCTCCCCTCTTCACCGCTTCCCCTAACGCGAGAGCACGTTCAGAAATGCGAGTCGCGCGACCAAAAGGGTTATCGAAGAAAGAAATTGATTTTTTTTTAGAAATATGGATGATAATAATAATAAATCAAATATCGGCTCTCTCATTTTATTAAAATAAATTATAAATTATTCATGATGCGAATAATCGCCATGTTTTTTAATTATAAAAAAAAAGAAGATGACGATAAAGAATAAGGAAAAAAATTTTTTAAAAAAAGGCGCGAAAATAAGTCAAAAAAAAATAAAATCTTAAATTTTGTTAATAATAATAATTTTGATGACGTAGACACACAACGACGACGACAAACTTTTCGTCATCATCAATAATAAATTATAATTAATTTAATTTCGGTCCCTTTTTATATAAGTATTTATAACTATATATATAATAATAATATATATATATATATATATATATAATATATATATATATATAT